TGGTGTAACCTCGCTATTAACATTGTAGTATTGCTTGGCGACTCACGGACGCGATGAAAAACAAAACGTCCCTAAACCAGCACTGCGCGTTGGCCAACAGACGGCAGCCTGCTTGACAACAGAATGGGCACCACTTTGACTAGAAATCGGGATATTTTCCATAGATCAACACGCTCTCTCACACACACACACACACACACACACACACACACACACACACACACGCGTTGCGTTGCCAACATAGTGGCCGCCAACGGCGGTTAGAAAGGCACGCACGCACCTATTCGCGCGAGCAAAATGCCAAACTCTCCTACGATGGGGATTCTGAACGCGCACGAAATCTTGTAGGCCTTTGGCCGTCTTGGGGCTCTCTTGGGGGCCTCTTGGGGCCCTCTTGGGGCTCTCTTGGGGCCGTCTTGGGGCCCTCTTGGGCCGTCTTGGGGCCCTCTTGGGGCCCTCTTGGGCCCCTCTGGGGCCCGAATTGGGGCACTCTTGGACCGTTGTCGGCCCCTTTGGGAGGCCTCTGAGGCCGTCTTGGGACGAGTTGGGGGCCTCGTGGGCCGTGTGGGCCCGTCTGGCCCGGAAAAGGCAAGAACCTCAAGAACCTCGTAAAACCTTGTTGAACTCAATGTTTTGCGGTTCCTGTGGCCCTCTCGAGGGCCCTCTGGGAGGTCTCTGGAGCCGTCTCGAGGCTCTCTTGGACCGTCTGGAGGCCATCCCGAGCTCTCTTGGGGCCGTCTTTGGTTCGCTTTGGTGCCCTCTTGGGCCGTCTTGGGGCCCTGAGCCGCTTCACTCGAAAAAATAAAAGGAAACGGGCCATGGAAGGCGCCCGCGAGCCGCTCCACTCGAAAAAATACCAGTGAAACGGCCCCCCGGCAGCCATCAACGCCCAAACACGCAGCCCTCGCCCCTCCCCTGGACCCCTCCCTCGAGGGCTTCGACCCACCAAAACGTCATCACTCATACCTCGCTTGTTCCGTTACCTGGGCCGGCACGGAAACGGAAAGAGCACCTCAGGAACTTGCCCGAGATGGCTCATGGCACCCTTTGCTCTTGGGAGCCTTGGTGTGAAAAGCTTCTTACGTTGCCGCTCTCCGTTGGGAGCCCTGGTGTTCAGAGACTTTTACGTTGCCGCTCGCTCTGGGGAGCCTTGGTGTGTCGAGTTTTTTACGTCACCGCGCTCTGGGGAGCCCTGGTGTCAAGAGCTTGTGACGTCACCGCTCGCTGATGGGAGCCATGGTGTTCTTGCGCGTCTCTCGGGCCTCGTCGGGGTCATCTTGGTGCCCTTTTGGAGCCCTTTGGGAGCCCTGTGGGAATAATTTTGGGCCGTACTGAAGCCCTTTGGGACCGTCTTGGGGCGTCTTGGAGGCCTTTGGCCGTCTTGGGGCTCTCTTTGGGGGGCCTCTTTGGGCCCTCTTGGCAGCCTCTTTGGGCCCGTCTTGGGGCCGTCTCGGGGCCCTTTGGGGCCGTTTGGGCCCCTCTGGGGCTGTCTGGGAGCTCTCTTGGACCGTTTTCGAGGGGGCCTCTGGGGCCGTCTTGGGACCAATTTTGGGGCCTCGTGGGTCGTGTTGGGCCCGTCTGTGCCCGAAAAGGCGAGAACCCGAAAAACCGTCAAAAAACCGAATGGAAATCAATGTTTTGGAGCTCCTGAGGCCCTCTCGAGGGCCCCTGGAGGGTCTCTGGAGCCGTCTCGAGGCTCTCTTGGACCGTCTGGAGGCCATCCGGAGCTCTCTTGGAGCCGTCTTTGGGTCGTGTTGATATCCTCTTGGGCCGTCTTGGGGCCCCTGAGCCGCTGCACTCGGAAAATACAAAGAGACGGCGCCTTCCATGTCGAAAAAATACTAGGGAAACGGCCCCCAGCAGCCATCAACACTCATGCGTCCGGCCCTCGCCACTCCCTTGGGCCCCTGCCTAAAGGGCTTCGCCCAACCAAAACGTCATCGCTCGTACCTCGCTCTTTCCGTTATCCGCGGTCGTTTGCCTACCCCCCAGACCCCCCCCCTTCTCATTTCTCCCGACTAACGTCGCGACGCTACGCGCGCTTTCCGTCATCCGCCGCCCCCTGTTGGCTTGCCACAGGGGTGCCCATCGTGCTAAATCCTATCGCTCTTGGCTTTGGTTCTTTGTCCAAAAGAGCTCCCACCTGGGGCTTCGGACCGTCCCGCTGGGGTGCCCCTCTCATCGGCTTGCTCGCGTAAGATGGCTCAAGATGGCCTCCAAGATGGCCAAGATGGTCAAAGATGGTCTCTCGGATACCTCCAAGACGGCCAAGATGGCATCAAGATGGACCAAGATGGCCTCCTAGACGGCCCAACTGGGTCCAAGATGCCTCCAAGTCGGCCCAAGAAGCCTCCAAGACGGCCCAAGAGGCCCCCAAGAGGCCTCCAAAACGGCCCAAGAGGCCTCCGAGAGGACCTCCAGGAAGGCCCGAAGAGGCCGAAATCATTAATTGTCCATTGGTGTTTGAAGGATTTGGGCAGTTGCTTCTTTTCGGCCTTCCGACGGCCCGAGACGGCCCCAGAGCACCCAAAGACCGTCCCAAGATCGCCCAAGAGGCCTCCAAGCTGGCCCCAGAACGGCCCAAGAGGCAACCAAGACGGCCCCAGGATGGCCAAAGGCGGCCGAAGAGGCCTCCAAGACGCCAAAGATGGCCTCAAAGACGCCCAAGATGGCCTCCAAGACGGCCCTGGAGCACTCCAAGAGGGCCCCCAGTCGGCCCAGAGAGGCCCCAAGACGGCTTCCGACGGCGTCAGACGGGCCAGGAGCCCACCAAGACAGCCCAAGATGGCTCTAAGATGGCGCAAGACGGCCCAAGAGGCCCCCAAGAGGTCTCCAAGACGGCCCAAGAGGCCTCCAAGAGGGTATCCAAGAGGGCCTCCAGGAAGGCCCGAAAATGCGAAAATCTTTGATTATCCTAAGCTGTTTGAAGGATTGTGGCAGTTGCTTCGTGTCCGCCTTCCGACGGCCCAAGAGCCCCGAAAGATCGCCCGAAAGGCCTCCAGGGTGGCCCCAGAACGGCCCAAGAGGTCCCCAAGACCGCCCCAGGAGGGCACTAAGACGGCCCAAGAGGCCTCCAAGGCGCCCAAGATGGCCTCCAAGACGGCTCGGAGCACCCCAATAGGGTTCCAAGTTGGCCCAGAGAGGCCCCCAGACTGCTTCCGACGGCGTAAGGCGGGCCAGGAGCCCACAAAGACAGTCCAAGGTGGCTCCAAGATGGCCCAAGACGGCCCAAGAGGCCCCCAAGAGGTCTCCAAGACGGCCCAAGAGGCCTCCAAGAGGGCCTCCAGGAAGCTTGATGCCGTAGGTGTTTGAAGGCGTCTGGCAATTGATGCTGTTCGGCCGTCCGACGGCCCGAGACGGCCCGAGAGCCCCCAAAGATCAACCGAAAGGCCTCCAGGATGGCCCCAGAACGGCCAAAGGGGCCCCAAGACCGCCCCGGGAGGCCCCCAAGACGCCCAAGATGGCCTCCAAGATGGCCCTGGAGCACCCCAAGAGCGTTCAAAGTCGGCCCAGAGAGGCCCCCAAGACGGCTTCCGACGGCGTCAGACGGGCCATGAATGCTCTGAGACGGCCGAAGAGGCCCCCGAGAAGACCCCAAAGGCCCCCAAGAGGCCCAAGAAGGCCCCCAAGATGCCTCCAAGAGGCTCCCAGCAAGCTCCCAGGAAGCCCCAAGAGTGCCCCCAGAGGCTCCCAAGCTGCCCCTCCTCCTCCTCCTCCAGCTCCTCGTCCTCCTCCTCCTCCTCCTCCTCCTCCTCCTTTTCCTCCTCCTCCTCCTCCTCCTCCTCCTCCTCCTCCTCCTCCTCCTCCTGATGTTTCCCGCCATCCTCCCACAAGTGTTCCCCGAAAGGTTTCCACAACGGTTGGGGGAACACATGGTCCGATAGCTTGGCAGAACTCTTGCCACAACGCTCGACCTCATGGGCGATTTCAAAAGGCAGGGGGCGGCAGTGGCTCGCCGTAGGCGTCTTCGATACCACTTTCGAGGACATCATCCTATAATTGAAACAACCAGCCGACAACTGCAGACGCAGGAAGCGGACCGTTCAGCCCAAGTTCGCCCAATTAGGTGATGCACAGAGTTCGCAGTCCAAGGAAGGACAAACACACATTTGCACCAATGCACAGCCTGCATCGCGACCAAAGAAGGCACGCAGTTGCGGATAGGACCCAGAAACATTTTAAGTCAATGCAGGCGTTCGCCGAGGGTGCATACTCAGCCTGGCTCTTCTCGCAACAGTTCTGGAGTAGGTCATTCGCGCGCGGAGAGCTCGCGTCGCACATCTTGGATTTGAACTTAGCTACGGTTTGAGGCCGCCCATAGATATACGCTTTGCCGACGACGTAGCATTGTGTGCCAAACAAGCGGGCGAAGCCGAATTGCTGCAAAGCGTCCTGGCTGACGATTTGGGAAGTCGATGGGCATGACAACAGATGCGTAACCTCCACGACAAATTTCAACGGGGCCGGTGCGGCTATCCAAGGTTTGCCCCGCATCCAGTTGTTGGTGGGCATCTGTCCTGCCCTCTTGCATCGTGTCCTTGCCTTTGTCTTCCCTTTCTCCCCCGTCCTTTCTCCTGCTTGCTTAAGCAATCCAATAGCAAATGTTGTTTCATCGCGCCTTTTTATGGGCCAGCCCTGACTTGACTTGAGGTGGCTTTACTTTAGGTGCATCTAACAATGCTTCTGGGCCCATCATCCAAGAAGCCACCCGCGACTGGCCAACTCCTTTGCCCCTGTCATGGTCCCCCGTTCTGGCCGATCGTGCGTTTAAACATTTGGCCTAACCTTACCGCCTGATTTCGCTCCACTGATCACATGGCCTGACCCCCTCAGGGATTTCCCGCCGGCACCTCATTTCTCAAAGGTTCTTCTCCGTAGTATTACGCGTGTTGTCACAGGCACAGAGAAGTGGGTAGTGGCAGCGCGCACTGAAATATTGCCAACAACAACACACGACAGTAATCGAGATTTGTGCAAGGAGCTCGGGGCATAAGCGAAGCCTGCGCTGCTGCCTGCGCTGTCGTGGCAGCTGATGGCTTCGACGCAATCAGCCCACCTGCCCAACATGCGCACTACTCCATACACCTTGACATGAAAAGCGTTCCACTTTAACTTGACATGTTGGCATCCTATTCCCGCATGAATGAGATACGATTACATACCAGATGCATGCAAAAATGAAATGCGAATGATGGAAAACGCGAGCTGCTGAAAGTGAGCATCCCATATAATTCCTGTTCGCGCGCTTCGCAATGCATAGTTGCCGGGAGAAGACGTCCAGAGAGCTCGAGTTGGCGGTCCCGGTTGCCGCGACCACGAAAGTTCATACTGCGAAACTCTTCGGACGGAGTCACAGATACCCAACGACAGAGCTCGAACATGCTGCCCCGCCTGCAGGTTGTAGCCCCGCTGCACTAAGCCAAACTGCCAGGCACCATCGCCCCCACAGCATTGGCCTGCGGCAATCAACTCCGAGCAGAGCGGGACGACCCTGGGATAAGAATGGAGCATTGACAACACGATTTCAGCAACACCGCCCCCACGTCCGATGCATCCCCGAATCCGCCACCGCGCAAGCGGAATACTGCAGCGTTCGAGAGCTGACTGCTTGTCTGGCAAGGCTTCTCTAGTTTTTCGATTGCCGACCCCGCCGCCCCCCGAAGGGCAACGTTAGGGGGAGACCGGCCCAGGGGGGAAACATCGGCCTGGAGTCAGCGATACATCGCCGATAGAACGGCGATAGCGCCTCGATGGTGACCCTGCGCGGTCCACTAAGTATCGGTCCGCTATCGGCGATCAATAGACGCTTGGGGGTCAATGCGTCCCCCCCCCGCCTATCCCTCCCATCACGTTGCCCCTGCACAGATCGTTCCTAGTTTTACTGTCCAGGCGCCCTTTTCGGCATCCAGGCGACTCACAAATTGCTAGAAACCGCCCCACGACGGCTGCAAGGTGCCCGAAAACGGACCCACAAACGGCCCAATGAGCCCCAGCAAGACCGAATACGCCTCCAGCGGTTCCAAGAAGCTCCCAAGAGGCGCCCAACCCAAACCCCCTTCGCATCAACACAAATCCGCCGACCTTGTGCCGGCGTGTGAGCGTGAGGTTGTCGTCCCCAGTTCGTTTTCGTACACGATTTCCTCCTCAAACACAATTTTCATTCGCTTTGCTTTTCCATTCCCAGAGAAATTCCCGAGACCCTCTTTGGAACGCCGAACTCGTCAACTCGAGGTGAATCGAGCCAGGTCGCACTCGAATTCGTAATTGGGTCGAAAGGAAGCCCTTTCCGTTTGATCCATTCCCCACCTGGGGGGGGGGGCCTGGAAGAGGGTCATGGGGGGGTCCTTGGGGGGCCCTTGGGAGCGGCCCGGGTCAGAATACGGTTCCCCCGCTTTCCTGTATCGAAAAGCCTTCCAACGAAGTCGGCCCTCCTTCCGCAACTCAAGCCCAAGATAATCCAAGAGAGCCCAGGAGGAACCCCGAGTCCACAAAAGATCGGTCCAAGACGCCCAAGATCGCCTCCAGACGGCCCAAGACGCCTCCAAGACGCCCAAAACAGGGTTCCGTGAGCACTCCCACGAAGGCCCCGACAGGTAAAATCCATTGAATTTCCCAACGTCGTTGAATGATTTACGCATTTTTGCCCTTTCGGCTTTCCGACGCTCCACCACGGGCCAGAAGGCCCCGAGGAGCACTCCACAAGTCAGTCTATGAGGCCGTCGCAAGGGCGCAGAAACGGTCAAAGAGGCCCGTAAGACGGCCCAAAAGGAATCGAAGGTGGTCAAACGCCCCCCAGAACGTCCCAAGGGAGGCCCAAGAGGACGAACACGAACCGACATTTCGGCATCGCCGCCCCAGGAGGCTCGCGGGAGGCCCAGAAAGTTTCCCAAGAGGCCTCCCCAAGAGGCCCCCAAAGGCCCCCAAGAAGCCCCAATACGTTCCCAAGCGGCTCCTAAGAGGTTCCCAAGCGGCCTCACACCTGCTTCCAGAGGCCCCCGAGAGCCGTCCGAAGAGACCCCAAGAAGGATCAATGAGAATTCTACCACACTACCCAAGCTCGGTGGCGGGATGGGCCACACGTCACTACATTGACCAAAGAGGGTCTGGAATCTCCCCAACGCCCCAAGAGAGCCCCCAGAGGGCACCCTCCAGGAGAGCCCAGAAAGGTTCCCAATAGTGTACCCAAAATGTCCCCCGCTGACCTAAAAACAGCCCCAAAACAGTTCCAAACGGCCCCAAAAGGCGGCATCCTCCTCCCCGTCGCCCTGAGAATACGGCATGAACTTAACTAACATGTACCACAGATGCCGCCGGCGCTGCTCACCCTGTCGTCGGGCTACCTCATAACACCCCCTCGGCGGACAAGCCGAAATGGCGACTGGGAAAGGATAACAGCGAGCGGACGCAAAGGTATATAGTCATCGTTGCCAACGGTAAAAGTCTGAAGTGCATGCTTTAAGACGCATGTTCGGCTCTAGACCAGTTCGACATGTGAAGAGCGCGCAATAGCCAGATCTCAAGCCTAGCAAAGCGGGTCCATGCAAAACGAAATTCGAATCGTAAGCAGCGCAGGCAGAAGCGACTAAGTTTTGGGCGTAAACGCGCAGGGCCTTCCCAACACGCACTACACTATTTCTAAGTGCCGCAAAGCACCGAATCCTGCAAAAGGTGTGGCATAGTATTTCGTGTAGCTGTAAGCTCGCACGGACGAGCACCTATATCACAACTGATCCTGATCTTAAGTCGCTGGCAGAGCGGCTCGCGAAAATACCCTGACTGCCAATGAGGTTGTAGTAGAACCTCTGTAGCTTGTGACAACTCATGCCTTCCACGAGCAAGGCACTGCTTAGTGCCTCGAGTCTGGTTTACCTTGCCATCCCAGATCAGATACTGAGTTAAAGCATCCACATGAATTATGATGCGGTTCCTTCTGTAAGCTGGCAGACTTGGACGCGTCTGATTCGTTCCCAACGCGCGCCTGCCTGCAATGACAAATGCTGCACGGGCATCACCCTACGAAGAGATGCCACAATAATTCCCGAGTTCCCCGATAACCGCTTGCCACCCGAATTTGACTGGGGCGCCTTTGACCGTTCCGCAATACTTCAGTTCTCCATATCGGAGCGCACCTACACTCTGGGTCGAGAGCGATTGTATCCGAGGCGATCCAATCACAACTGATATTCCACTTGTCGATGCAAGTGCCCCCTTGCATCCCGCATCGGCGGTGTCTGTCATTACAGATAAATCCCTAGGACATTCCCGAGCAAATACTGCAAGCCACACCGGTTGCGGATCTTGAGGTGCTGACATAACTCGGGAAAGCTTGCCATGCCCCTCGGGTTGGTGCCGAAATTGATCGGGCAAGTTCTTTAGCTGAGAAACGGTTATCTGGTCGGTCCTGCGTTAAGTAATGAGAACTGATAAGTAAAGCCCGGCACTCCTGAACGCGCTGTTTTCCGCCTGGCGCCGAACGCCTCCCGCTGCGAGGTCCCAGGCCTACCTCCTTGACAAGAATCCCAGCATGTCTTGGATCTACCTCGCACCACAAACCGAATAAGACTGCAGGTTGACTTCACGCCCTCCGGCCCTGGCCCGAGTCTGCCCCGGACGCATGCTCCGACATCGTTGACGAAGTTCCCCTTGTAACCAGCCAAAAAGCAAAACACCATGCAGCAAAAAAATAGCATCTCCATGAATCGCTAGCCAGATTCGCCTCGTCGCAAGCTGGAACACACGCGGTGGCGCTCCTCCACTGTCTTACCGGGAGCCGCGCGCAACGCCCATGCAACTGTCCCCACTGGTGCCGCGCATTGGCTTCGACAGTCTCCCACATGCCTGGCTCGCGATCTTTTCGGGGAACCCGATGAAGATGCCGCGTTGCCTTGGCGCACAAGCACACCCGAGTGACATCTACGAGCCCCAAGTTGAATTCTCCTGCACGCCCCCTCGAGCATGCCCCACTCCCTCGGCAGCGGCAATAGAGAAGAGCAGTTGCTGCGATCCCAATGGAAGGCGCCTGCAAATATGATATTGTTCTCGCTGTTGCACCTGACGGGATCGGTACTCAGGATCAGCCTCGTCGCCCTCGCTGATACCAATACCCTCGCACCCATGGGATCTTTGCCGACAACAGTCCAGCACCCCCCCTCCATTTTACGACGCATCCCACGAATCCACTAATGAGCCGGGGTGCCCGCGTGGCTTCGAAGGTGAAGCTAGCGGCGATATTGCGAGCTCCTCCTGCGCACTCTCTCCTCCTGCGCACTCTCGCCTCCGATGCCCCCCCTTGATCTCGCTAACCCCACGTCTTCCATAATCTGGCTGGCTTTCAAGTCCCTTGACCCAGCACCGTGATGCCCCTGAACTTCACGGGAGCGCCAAGCGAAAAGTGCCATGATATTTTCGGGCTCAGGCTAACAGAAGCCCATGTCCACGTTCACTTTGCCCGTAACTACCCTCATTCATGTCAACGCCCTCGCCTGGTCCATCACAATAAATTCATGGACACGCGACCAGGCGGACGGAGCACCCTAGTCGGTTCTCAGCGGTTACTTGATTGACGGTTGACCTCCCCAGGGCGCGCAGCTCGACGCCATCGGTCCGGCCTCCCTTTTCGTTCGTTCGTTCGGCCTCCTCCATCTCACTAAGAATATGTCACTGTGGCGCTTCACACTGGGGGCCCAGCCAATACAGATGCTGTTGGCCATGAACCCAGCGGGCTCCTCAAAGGATCCTCTTTCCTTTTACAATTTGCTTCAGGTCATAACTGCGCAGATCCCCGTCATGCGTCTGCACCGCCCCAGGCCATAACAGCCGCGACAATAGCATCGCGGCCCAGCCCGAAGCTGCGGAGAACCGTCGACCGACAAACTAAAACCAACTGTTCCGCTCTGCATGTCGCACATTTCAACTGCCAACGCGAAGCGGTTCTTTCCGTAGTCGAGCATGTCCATGGTCTGTTCTGGCCCGAGCCTCTTCGGATTCGAAAAATGTAACCCGCTGAGAGCCGGACACATCGGCTAACCATTACCCCAATAAGGCTGCTTAGCGACTGAGAACGTGCTTGGTTTTTGCACGACACGCTGCACACTTGAAACGTTCCCGGACTCATCGACCGCAGTTGAGTCCATAGCTAGCTTGGGCACGCGCCCCATTGTCTCCGCCAAGCGGGCAACTCGCACTGGCGAGTAAACCTCGCAAGCACGCACAATTAGCATCCACGAACCCCTGTTTGAATCCTTCTGCATGCCCCCATTCGGGCATGCCCTACTTCGTCGGCAAAGGCCGCAGAGAAGAGCAGTTGCTGCGCTTCCAAGGCAGGGGCGCCTGCACATTTCACTTGTTGGGGAAGCGCACGTAACCCTGCTGAGCCACCAGACGGGGTCCGCACCCAGGATTGGCCTCGTCACCCGTACTGGAATCAATCCACCTCGCACCTATGGGTTAGTTGCTG